ATCTGGAAGTCGGTAAGAAACAACCGAATTTATTTGATTATGCATTATTTCCCGAATAATTTTGTAAACTATGCGTGCCAGCGTAAACTCATCGCGTGATTTCGTTCAATAGAAATGTTATGTTTAACTGGTAATTTTGCCGTTTATTTTATTTATTCGTTTATTATCGACTTACTATCAGACTAATCAAATTGCATTCACAATAAACCCACAAGGTTAAGAGCATGGTTTAAATGCCATTCTCCAATGCATGTGTTTTCCTTTCAGTTTAATAGTGGAAACGACGGATCTAAGCGCAAAGTGATTACCACACACTGTGTTAAAATCAAATAGAAGCCAAATTTACACTTTTTATAGATAGCGCAGATCTGTTTTATTGTTATGCACATTAGATGGTGAATTAAAAAGTGAATCAAAGGAAACCAGCAGCAAATTAAAAAATAAGTAGATATGCAGAGCATTTTCTACGATGGCTAATAGCAAATTACCAATCGCGACTCAGTTGGAAAAAATGATCGAAAAGTGTTTATTTCTTGGAGATATTAACAGATGAAGATCCAATTCCAACTTTATTATTGGATATTAAGCCTTGCAAGCCTCCAAAAAGTCGAAACTTTATAACATTCTGTTATGATCATCAGAAATATGAGCACTGAGACAGTTTTGTAAAAATCAGCTGAATTCACCTGCTATCAACGCGGACAAATAAATAGGAATTTACCCTTGTTACTAAAAGCAAATATCCTATTCCAGAACCAATTTAAGGCGTAGTTTCGCGCAAAAATCTCCGGCTTACACGGGAGTAATTTTTCTATGAATAACATTATCCTGCTAGGAATCAATATTGCGTGTCTAACCCATTGGGACGAAAAAACTCATTACACCCTTATTATATTATATTTCCCCTCTGCAATAAATCCGTCTTATAGCTGGCGAAAGGTTTTGCGGCGCATTTAATCTCTTTTCCAGACATCGATTTAACAACTTCCGTTTAACGGGTAAAACCTGCTGGTTAATTTTTTAGGATTTTTAGTACTTATGTACGTGTTTTTAATTTCAACAAAATTTTAATTTTTTGTAAAAAGTCGATCTAGTCAAACGAGAAATAGTAAACAGTTCAATAGCACTAAAAATAAAAACACCGAGAAGTAACATAGTTATGGATGGATGAATGTACTCAGAAATGTTTCAGTGAAAGATAAAAGGCTTGTTGAAACCTTTCCAACGGAGCTTATATTTATTATCAATAACTTTTGAGTCATATGTTAAGATGTGTTCCTTGAATATTCAACAACTTCCATTGTCAAAGGTGCTACTAAGTACATACTTTCTCTTTCGGAAAATTCATTAAATTTTGCACATTGGGAACATGAAACAAATTAGGTATCAACTTTTAAACTTGCAATGAAACAAAATAATCTCATTGATTTTTAATTTCTGTTACGTGATAAGTTTGTACATCTAGACATCATTAGAAGACCTTAAAATATTTTAGAAATTATTAAAGAATCAGTGAAAAGTGTTCGTGGTGGTGGTGGTGATGATTAAAGAGATTCTAAATATAAAAAAATAAAGTTCTCTAAATGGTTCAAACATTTGTTTTTTTGAAAAAGTTTGGAATGCAAAAATTCCCTTGTATTGTACCTACCAAAAAAATACTCATAACAAGCTTTGGGCTTTAATGAAAAAAATCTAAAATAATTAGATTTCGCTGCGTTTGACGTTCATGAGCAATTCAACTGATTCTCCGTAATGTTGTTTGTTGCACAATTTAATTTACGATTAGGCTTAATTATTAATAGGTGTTGCTTCAAACTTTAAATAAATCTTCTAAAAAAAACATGAATTTTCCAATTGCTCAATATGAAATATTGTCAACAGCGATTGAATTGAACAGCATGTGTTTCTAAGTAAACTCAAATGATACGATAGCTTTTGCTGATGTCCCTGAACAAAAATTCCTCACCCAATGTTGGATATTGGATTAGATGCAACAATAATAAAGATAAGATATAAATTATCTAGAATTTAAGAGAAACTTATTAGAAAACATGATCGAAAGAATGGAAAAAGTAAGCGAGCCACACCCACAGTACTCTCAACTCTACAAAAAACAAAGAAATCGTGGAAGCATCAATTGAAAGATTGAATTCATTACTTTCCTGCATTGCAATCTGCAATTATGCAGTCATGTTTTTCAAATTTGCGTATAAACATTAAGCACTCAGTGTGCGCCTCCCAAGAAATCATTAAAAAAATTATTGACAAAAGAACAAAAATTACATTTATCTCACTACCGTCATTTGCTGGTAAGTAAAACAAGTAGAGTATTGAAGGAGTAGAATAGACGAAAGCACAATAAGACAGAAATATTAATAAATGTAAAAACCAGTCATACTTACAATTTTTAATTGAAATAGAACATATAAAATTGAATACCGTCAAAAAAGTCGCATTAATTTCATCATGCTCACGAGAAATATGCAGTATTTAAAATATGAGCAAAACCCTCAAAATCACTTTGAGCTATAGCTAAAGGCTAAGGGCGCAAAACGCTTAAAAATAATCAAATATTTTACAGAACTGCCCACGATACAGAAAAGGAACATAAACATAATAAAAAAACAATACGAACATACCACTATTTCAACATCATAGAACATCTGCGGATGTAAACTTAACGAAAAAATCGAAGTCCTGAAACATCAAATCTATGTTACCAATCAAATAAGATGATTTGGTTTCACCATTCTTCTATACGATTTAGGGACATTCTGAATAATTAGATATTTGAAATCGTTCATACCGTTCTCAATTCGATGGAATGCCCGCAACACACTCAAATGCTTTCTACAGCAACAGGCGTGTGTAAAGAGCCACTTTCCATCGTCATTATGTAATATCGAATGCAATATAATATCGCAAATCTGAATAATACTCTTCATTTTTTAATATTATTCGCAATAACAAGATGAAATGCGTAGCAAATCTTTCAATAGCTAGTAAAAAAATAACTACTTAAAAGTCAGTAACATTTCTATTGGTAATCCATACCATTCTGAAACCTAAGGACTTGTTTACTATATTTATCGTCAGTTGATGCAAAAGCAAGAGCGAAAGAGTAAACAATAAGTAGTTACTTAACACTAGATTGATTTCTGACTCATTCACGATTTTATTTATACGGGATACAAGGTGGTCCAATTTCCAGATGCAAAATTTTAAGAACCAATTTCCATTCAAAAATGTACCGTTAAGAAAATACAGGGTGTTAAAGTGTGGGAAAAAATCAAATTTATTAGTTGGGAATCGGCTGGCCGTTAATCCGTTAAATTTTTTGGTCGTTAACTTGAAAACATGGTTTGCTATAAAGAACATATTTTTAGTTTGCCAGTGGCGTTCATTATAACACGTAACTTGATATTTTCAAAGAAAAATCGACATGCTTCTGCGTGTTCATAAAATAAAAATCAGCCTTGCATTCTTAGTTCAGTCTGAAAAAAGCTCTTAAAATGTGTCTGTCGTTGTGTGTTAAATCGCATCTGCGAAAGAAAAAATAATTTTAAAATAATGGATCTAAGACAAATGTAAATACGAAAGAAAATAAAAGTGTCAGTTGCAGAAATTGTCTCAAACGTAATCCAACCATCTCGGTACATTTTCGACACCTTGTCGTAAATAAATTTATTGCAGGCATTTTGCGTTGCTGGCTTAGCCATTTTTCAGAATAGCATTCAAATTACTAGAGAAAAAAATTGCTTTTGTCGTACGCTCAATTGCTCTTTCAAGTCCATTATTTCAATATTTTACTCGCAAAGCTGGAGTCCTACAGGAAAATTGAAATTAAATGAGGAATCCAGATCTGTTAGATATAAAATAAAATAAAAAATTATAATAATGTCAGAATTTCCAATAAAAACCAGTCGATCGCAATCTTAAAGGCCTAATTGTTCATTTTTTTCATCAAGTAATAGTAGTAGACTCAAACAAGAATTGATTGGGAAAAAATTGACCTAAACAAGAATCAAATCAATCGAATCTAATGCGAAACTATGTGAAATCAATGAATAGAATAGAAATAGAGAATCAAGCTAATAGGATGGACTTATCGAGCAGTGAAGATGTAGATCTTCATCATACCACACCTAGAAAAATATCGGTCTGTTTTCCATCTGGAAGTTAATTTTTCAGAAAGTGAAACATTCCAAAACTGCTGGCAAAATATTGTATGAATATTCCATGAAACAGATAGTATCGAAAACAGACATCGGAGATCGATCTAATAGTAAATAAAATTTATTGCAAAAACCTGCTGAGGGGTCATTATGAAAAACAGTAAAAGAAGGTGGAAAATGGGTAGATTTTCGGATCACACCAAATTCAAAGACTTTCTAAATCTAACTTTCCAAGTCCGTCAAATGAAGTTTCAGCTAAAATCTTATTATTTTTTAACTCAATGGACTCATTTCAGGCCAACAGGGTTGAAAATACCCCATTGTGGGTGTCACCGAAAAGTAAATAATTACTCATTTGTTTATTTAGTACAGTGGGGTTTTGAAATAAACACTTCGATAATAACTGTTTCAATCTCACTTTCAACATATTTTTATACACAAGATGACAATAAGTAGTGATTAATTGAACTAATCAACAAGTTTCAACTTGTCTGCATTTAACTGTGAAACTACATTATAAGGGTGGAGCACAGTTCAAAATGTAGGCGAGGTGTGTGAGTGAAAGGAAGGCTTTGTGCAGGGTTTACCACGAATGATGTTTTATTGAAAAGTATTGAATAGTTAAGTAGGTATATGAAGTTTAATGTAAGCGGCAAGGTGTTACTTTTTAGACACACAGTAAAAACACTGATATAAAAGATGCATCCACACCTAGGTGATCACTGAGCTGTGGAGTATTTATCCTACATCTATTAGGTCTAGACCAGATTAGGTTAAATGAGACATGACTAATTGCTAGTTGTGCGGTAGAAAATAAGCACTTACCGTTTCTGGAGACATCTAGCTCGGCTAAATGTTCGAAATTTTGAATGTCCGGAGGTAGTCTTTGAATTTCATTGTCACTTAAACCTAGTTTTCTAAGCCTTTGAAGCCGAAAAAAATGCTGCAAATAAAAGGGCCATTAGCTGGTTTTCTGGCAGATTTCCAGATGCAGCCGTTACCTTCGGAAGATCTCTGATATGGTTGGCATCCAGTAGTAGCTCTTCTAAACTCCTGGAATAACGCAAAATATCCTCGGGAACATTTACAAGCGAACTATGTCTTTTATCAACAAACTCGATTTGCCTGTTGCAGCCCTTAAAAATCGGAATAAAACGGAACATCGTGGCTAGCTCACAGTCAGGCACATATTTAAAATTTACGAATAAAATCTAATCACTAACCCGCACACTATAATAAAACTTATTTAAAAAAATACGAAAAACTACTGCTTTATTTTACACAGTCACCAATCGAGCACCACTCCCGCTAAACTGCAAGCGCAAAAATTCCCTAGACCGAATGGGAGAATGCACTCATCTGTCAAACTCTACCAACCTTCCCAACACTGGACACCAAACGGAATGTTAAAGGTCACTGATCTTACACCGCTGCCATACCGACCAGAACTGCCTCATTTCAGGTACAAATTAAATGGATATACAGGGCGGCCTAACGTCTAATAAACATGTTAATTCCACTATTCCATATTGGTTATTTGGCCATCATTTAACTTTATTTTCAAAAATCTACCCATAGTTGATGAAAATTGTTTTAAAAACCTGATAACACAAAATGGAAAAAATGTTTATACTAACTGGCACTAATACTAAAGTACATTTATGCGCATAAACGGCCAAAAACCCAATTTTTTACAATTTTTAAGACACAGTGTAGGAAAACTGCTCAGAACCGCACATGCGTCTGATTGCAAAACACACAACAGCTAGAGTACATACAGCAGGGTTTTCCAAGCTTTTCCGATAATGGAACACTTTGCCAGGTCAGTATTGAACAAATGTCTGAAATATTCAAATTACTTGCAAACCAGCCACCTGATTTGCTTTAAAATTTTTACACGCAGATAAAAAATTACACTCTTGTTAACAGTGCATTTGAAAAGTCCTGTGTATTTTTTTTATATTTTAATAAAATATTTAATACAATTTTTGAACAGCTCTTCAAAATTGGAGTAACATTTGCTACAAAGAAATTGTTTACTTGAATTTTTTGAAAAAATATTTGCACAAAATAATACTTTTAACGAATTTTAATTTATAGAGAAAAAGTTGTCTGAACAAGATATTTTGATTATTCCAGACATTTGGTTAAACAAAACGTCATCTACTGTATATAATTTTTGAAAAATTATATGTTTTTGTTTGAGACATATTCTCCTGGCTGCTTTGTTCCGCTTATTCCTATCAAATCACGTTTAAATCTCATCTCAGCAATTCGCTACGAGCGCACATAGATTGAGCAGCCACACATGAATGTTGTGCGATCCAAGCGGGTGTGGTTTACATTTAGTGCGTCTTTTTAACAAGCTAAAAACTGTTAAGGGCACATTGCTATTTTGTCTTTGCATCGGAATTACCAAAATAATTAAACAAAACTTAATTCTAAAATCAGGTAAAATTAATACGCAAGTATCGACTACAATGTTTTTTGAACCACCATTCCAAGGGATTGACATATGTCTGACCATCCACAATCCATCATCGAATAGTTTGAATTTTTAAGCTTAAACGGTTTTTATCAGCGTGTTTGCTCATTCTAACGGTCTACTGCGAGATTTTAAGTGTAGTTTTTTTTGTGAGACTATTTGCCGTTTACTTCTTATTGAGTGGCCAATATGGATGTAAAAACCCCCAGCAACAAAATCAAGGAGACTAAACCTCAAAAGAAGAAAGCCCCGGCTCCGGTAATCAGACATACTATCACCAGCTACAAAAGAATGATGAAAGCAAACCCATTGTTGGAACTGGAAATGAAAGGGATCAATGTGAACGAGTATTTCAATCAGTTAGCTGCAGGGAATCGCACCAATCCACCCCCAACAGCCTCAATCCCGGTAAAACAAGAGAGATTCGAAAAGCCACAATTAAGATTACCAATGGCAAGCACCACCGGATTAAGTAAACAAGTGACATCTGCTAAAAGCAAGCCATCAACCATAAATTCTCAAACACACCAAGCTGCGAGAAGTGTGACACATTCTTCAAAGGTACTTCTCAACAGTAAACCGCTACCGAAAAGTTCGATGAAACCAAAGACTTGTACTTACCAACTGACTGGTAATAGTAGTATACAACCACATAGTGAAATTCAGAATAAAGCAACTCAGACCAAAGAAAATTGCCTACCCTCGAAAGTTCCTGCAATAGTTGAACCTATTGAAGAAGTTCCTCCATCGGTTTCACCCACAGATAGAAGAAGAAGTAACAGCTTTACCTTTAATACACCCCAGACCTATAAGAGGAGAAGTGTCGCATTCTTAACTCCTCAATCTGTTAGAAAGCAAAGCTTTTTCAGGGCATCTACTCCGGCTCCTGTTGATATGAAAAAGCTACAGGATAGGCTAAATATATGGTTGAAGACTAGAGCCAAACCACCAGTATTGTTCAAAAACATGAGGTAATTTTAACTGTTTAACTGTCTAGTTATTCATAAAAATACAACCTGCTAGAAACAATATACAGGATGTCCCATAAGCCCATGATCAAACGGCAGTGCTCGTTTTGTAGCTGCAGAATGTTTATGATTTACTTTTACTAAATCATGTTTTAAATAATCAGTATCAGGGGATTTAAAGCTTACAAATTTAAATCATAACTAATAAAACTGAAAAAGGTAATAGAACTCTTGGAAATTTCCGTGGGACTAAGGTATGATGATATTTAGCATTGTTACATCATCCATAAATTATCAATCTTACTCATGATTGAATGATTGAACTGATAAGCTTGTGAACTTTAACAATTGTTTTGAAATAAACGATCTAGGGGGTGTCAACTTATGAGGTAACACCCTGTACATAATGGTTTTCAGGACTAATCATAATTTAATACATTTTATAAATGCATACTAAGTAAATATTGTCATTTATTTTAGACTTTTTGGAATCGATGAGGAGAGAAAACTTTCTTCGTCTTTCAAAAATCCAATTATCGAGGAGAACAAAGAAAATGCTGAGGTAAATGAATCAAAATCTAACAGTTATGAAAATTTGGGAATTCAGAGAAATGCGAACATTGATGACGCTCAAGACTTGAATCAGGGAGATCTATCGAAATATGCGAAGGAAGCAATGGGAGAGCTTTTGACCTTAATTGAAGAAGTAAGCATAATCACTTACGGTGGAAGAGAGTGCTTTAGGGCTTTCTTCTATTAATCCATTGTTAAAAATGTTCATTTATAAATAATTTACGTTACAGGAATATCCCAGAAATCAGTGTCTCGCCTGGTTAGAGCTAATCAAAAAAAAATACGACAAAGCAGATAATGAACCCGAATACTGGGAGTGTCGAGCTGCCATAGAACAGTCAGCTGGTAACATACAAAACGCCGTTCAGTTCTACGAAGCTGCTATTATTAATGGAGCAGAGGTATAAAAAGCACTTAATAGTATAACTAAACCATTTTTTTAAATCATGATTTCAGGTCAATTCTATAAATAAATCATTGGATCAATTACTTAAAAAGTTTAGCTTACTTAACATCAGCCAAACAGAACTAGAGCCAAAAGAGCGTGTCTCTTCCGATCGGGGAAGGATCGTTAAAGAGGCAAGAAACATCTTTAAGTCCACTATTATTAACTTTGCTGTTGGAGTGCGTAACAGCAAAAAGTAAGTAATCGTTTATTGGAATAATTTATTTGATTGTGTGCCTCACAATTTAAATATCGGATTTTGTTTATTTTATGTAATGTTTCAATAAATGGCAAAGAAATATTATGCCTATAGGTATGTACTTAATCTGAGATAATACTCTTTTTAAGAAATAATTCTGCTGGAAATACCGAAGCAACATTATTTATCACACCAGTTAAGAGAAGCACTCGCATATCACGTGGTGGTTATGCAAACACGCCAGGATTGAGACTTTGCGACTCTTTGAAAGATTTAGACTTGAATTCGGAAGAATTTCAATTTAAGAAAAATGATGCATTAGTATAAGTTTTGTCAAAGTCTGTTGATAGGTACTGCCACTATATAAAATCAGAAAACTAATTTTATATCTTCTCAGTGAAAGTTTAATAATAATCACTTAGGTAGAAGGTGGAAATTCGCTGGCCATGGTCGTAAAGCACCCAAGCGAATAATGGCCATATTATACGAACCTAGTATTATACTGTACTTTATTCACATTCATGTTGTTAGAGTTATTTGTAATAAATCAGGTAGATGATGAAATGTTCTGAATAGGTACTTTAGCACTGTAGTGCACCGCGGGGCTTTAGGGAATTACTTCATAGTTTATTTCTGCTCTCATTATTTCTTTGGGATTATTACTAAGCATCATATACATTTAACTCCGTCTGATGTTTTTTATTAATTTATTGTTTTTAATTATATTTTTAATCACTGATTATGTTGATATGAAATAAATAGATATATGAAGAAAAAGATTACACTGTGTTGCGCTATTGCCAGATCCACGGTGAAACAATCAGCACTGTCAACCGAACAGCGCAACATCAAAACGACCTGACGTTTGTTTGGCTTTTGCATTCTGATTATTGGGTGGAGACAATACATTAAATTTTAATTGTTGTTTTGAAAATAACAGCGCTGTGTTTAAACTAGTATTAACAATTGATCGCACTGAGTCAAACCCAACAGTTTTATTTAGTGGCAAATAGTTCAACTAGGTTTCATCTGGATTCTACCCCATGTTGGGTTTTGTTAAAAAGCACTAACAAACATGGGAAAGTAGTGAACGAATACGAAGAATGAACCACTCGAGTACCAATTTATTAGAGCAAGACAATATGCTCGACAGGGATTTGGCCAGTGGGTTCGATCATGGAAAGCAGAAAAAGTTCAGTTCTGGTTCTCTTAGTGGCGATATGTCAAGACCAAAAGTTGTCACTGTGAAACACCCAGACTCAAATAAGCTCAAACCGACTGCCAAGAAGAACAAAACGCCAATACAGGCTGATCTGGATGTGAGCAAGGAGTTCATCAGGTGCAGAGATGAAGGGTTAAAAAGACTGGATTTGAGTAAGTCAAATATTACTCACCTGCCTCAGACTATTAGAGACTTGACTCATCTAGTAGAGCTTTACTTGTATGGCAATAAGCTAGTTCAGTTGCCAAGTGAGATAGGGAGCCTCACTGGTCTTCAAATGTTGGCCCTAAGTGAAAACTCGTTAACTAGTCTCCCAGACTCATTAGAAAACCTGAAAAACTTGAAAGTACTAGACTTGAGACACAATAAATTGAACGATATTCCTGAGGTAGTATACAACCTAACATCATTAACAACATTGTACCTAAGGTTTAACAGAATAAGGTATGTAGGTGATGAAATAAGCAACTTGACTGCCTTGGTCATGTTCAGCTTGAGGGAGAATAAAATCAGAGAATTGCCTTCAGGGATAGGGCACTTGGTAAACTTAGGTACTTTTGATGTGAGCCACAATCATCTGGAGCATCTACCAGAAGAGATTGGAAATTGTATAAATCTAAGTACTCTAGATTTACAACACAATGAGCTACTGGATATCCCAGAATCGATTGGAAATATCCAACAGCTTACCAGGCTAGGTTTAAGGTATAACAGATTAACCTGCATACCATCGACCTTAAAAAAATGCCGTGAGATGGAGGATTTTAATCTGGAGGGTAATGCAATCTGCCAATTACCAGAAGGCATTCTTTCAAGTTTAAAGCGATTGTCGAGCATCACTTTATCAAGGAATAATTTTTCCGCTTTTCCCATTGGAGGTCCATCCCAGTTTACTGATGTAGATTCGGTGAATTTGGAACACAATCAAATCGATAAGATTCCTTATGGAATTTTTTCCAGGGCCAAAAGGCTCACAAAACTGAACATGAAGGAAAATAAATTAATGTCTCTTCCTCTGGATGTTGGAACCTGGGTTAACATGGTGGAACTTAATTTAGGTGAGATTTCGTTTTTAAATGTGAAAATGTTCAATCAATTATCACTTTGTTAAGAATAGTTGAGTTTCTTCAGATTTTTTTCTAAGCCACCTTAATGAACTTCTAGATTATGAAATTTCATCATTTGCTCTTCAGATCCTAGTTTTTTAAGAAATTATAACACTTTGGACCATGGTCCAAGTGATTTTATTATTATGTTATAAAGTATTTTTTGGTTACCGCTCAAAAACATTGTGGAGGAAACACTGTTTTTCTTGAAAACATGTTCTTTGTTTCGGCGTTATTCAAACCATCATCGAGGCTCTAGAATAGCCATAATGATCTCAGAGTTAAGCATAGTAAATCAGGTTTGTGCTAAATATTAAAAGAGTAGAAAAACGAGAAATTTCATAAAATGTTTTCTAAATTAAAATATCCATATTCAAAAGCATAGTAAAATTGATTGAAGCATAATTATGCATGCTAAACCCCCTTTTTGATATTCTCCGCTACTGACTATAGATAAAATCAGTCAGGGCAGTTTAGAGTGTTCCAAAAGTGTGCAATTTCTCGAGTTGGAATTGAGAACATTTGAGTCAGAGGATATTTTCTTAAATTTCAGTAATGAAATAGTTGAGAGCTCCGCTTGCAATTGCATAAAATTTCATTTTTGCCGTAGTAAAATAAAAACAGCTTCTTTTGAGTGACTGGTACCCGAAAAAGACAAAACTAATGCCTTCATTTGCGACTATAATTGGGAATTTTTAATCATATTTCAAAATTTTTCATTGCTAAATCAGAATTTTTAACTATTTCTCAAACATAAATCGGAGTTTTTGTCCTTTTATGAGTTGACTAACATAACTGAAACTAATCGACACTTTGAGATGATGGTGGCAGAACTAAAGGAACTTGAACCTGGGATACCTGATTTAAATGTATTTTATTTTTTCAACAAATATGAATAAAAATTACCTTTTATTTGTATCTAATTACTTTGGATGTACCTTTTGTTTAATATGTTTGGATTTTATTTTGGACATTATATCACATGTTACTTTGATTAAAAAATTGTTAATACTACAAAAACTTTATTTCCGCCCATTTACCCGTTACAAGATACAGCATAATATTAAATTAGGCAGGGACATCACAAGGCGATTAATAATAGCTAAGCTTGTAGCACAGATATAGAGCAGCAAAATTTGAAGAGTAAATAATTCCGTTATGCAAAGAATCGAATTAATTCGTTCACCTTTTAAGAATATCTTGTGTTAATTATCCAACTCGTTATTCGAAATTAGAATTAAAAAGATATGAAAATGACGGATGGAAAAAGTTTTTTCGATGTTTTTGGGACTCTGTTGAGCACTTCGAATTTAAGACGAAAAGGAACGATATAAAAAATAATTAAGATTTTATTTATATCAATTTGAGAGAGTTTATCGGCAGGAAACATACTGATTTTGGAGTTTCACTGGAGACTAAAAGAAGGAAAAAATTGGTCATATTAAAGGCACATAAATGACCGCGCGACGGCATAGATATACCCAATTAATTATTAACACAATTTCAGTAAGCTGGTATCTCTTCTCACAATATTGACTCAAAGTGAGAAAAAAAGTGTGGCCTTATGCAGGGATAAATAATTTATCATCCGCATGGATGAATTCCTATTATATTAAATCGAAAAGAAATCGAAACAATTTCGATATTAAAAAAAAAGCATCCTGTATATGAATGCAAATTTAGGTTGGACTTTTAAATTGCCTATTTTTGCTTCATAATTTTTATTTTCATGTCAAGCGGTTCAAATTTATGTAGGTGCTTCTAAAGAACGAGCATATCGACTTTCGAGTCTGCCGTCTATTGTTTATTTTATGCCTTGGATAAAATTTTAACTAGACTGTCTGCATTCTATATCAATACTGCGAATGCTATTGCATTCAGGTTAAACAGTTCAGATTGAATTCGATTATTAAACACGAGATATTATTACTAATATAGTCGCACAAACTTCTGAAGGTCTAAAGCCACTCATGTGTGCTTGCGAAACTTCACGAACAAATTTAAAACTTTTCCAGGACAACCCAGATGCCCGGAAAACTGGCATTATGGTGCTGAAGCTAGTCAGTACCTGCTAAAGTAAATAAATCAAAATTGCTTTAGTGGGTATTTTTTTGCGAAAAAAAGTTCAAGGGTTTTCTGTGAAGGTCTGCCTCTATGAGCAAGCTGTAAAATAACCTTCTACGTTTATATCCGAACTCGAGAGATTGTCTACTTATTCTGGAACATCCTACATGTATATGTATAATGTGCGTTGAACTTGTAAAACTTCATTTGATTAAAAAAATGGCAATTTCCAGGCACCAATCAGCTAGAAAAACTGCCAGACGACGTCCAGTGTCTGCAAGCGTTAGAAGTATTAGTTCTTTCTAACAATCTTCTGAAGCGAATACCACCTAGTATTGGAAACCTTCGAAAACTTCGAGTATTGGATTTAGAAGAAAACCGACTAGAGCAACTTCCGAACGAAATCGGCTATCTTAAAGATCTGCAACGGCTCATTGTGCAATCCAACCAGCTGACTATAATACCGCGTGCCATTGGCCATTTGACAAATTTGGTATTCCTGAGCGTTGGAGAGAACCTCTTGAGTTATCTACCAGAGGAAATAGGCACATTAGAAAACTTAGAGTCTCTGTACGTCAACGACAATCCCAATCTTAACAATTTACCATTCGAGCTGGCGCTGTGTTCAAATTTGCAAATTATGAGCATCGAAAATTGCCCTTTGGGCCAAATTCCAGCGGAAATTGTATTGGGTGGCCCTTCATTGGTGATACAGTACCTGAAAATGCAGGGTCCTTACAGATCTATGTGATGCACCTAGTTTTCGAAACAAGTTTGTGATATGGTATAAGTTTTTGTCTGTTTTGCCCTAGAATTAATAACGAAGCGAGAACGAATCTGCTCTCAACAATGCTCATTATCAACGTTTTTGTTAGCGAAAATGGGCTTAAGCCGAATTGATTGTGTGTATGTGTGGTTGAACTTTATTTTTAGCACAAGAAAGTAGTTTCTCTAAATGTTAACGTGTTATATGGAGCAAACATTGAAGAATTATTGTTTAAAACAGTGTATACAAAACGATAACCACTGAAGTACATTGACCTAGATATTTATTTTGCTACGGGAATATTTTGTGACCCCGTAGGTGTCTGTAATATTTTCAAAAATTTACCCGCTTTACCAGCAGATATTAAATCAAATGATGTATATTTAATTCTATTAGCGTTTGCAACCATCTCAGGCTAAGCACATAGTGAAGTGGAGAAGAAAATAAAAAAAGGTGTGCGTCATCGGACGCTCGAGAGAAGTGATAACTTTATATTATTTATAGAAACCATATAATAATGAACTTGTTTAACGCATGATGGCAATAGGAATTTATGAATGGATCAAGAATAGGTAAAATGTAATTTAATTTCGTTGTAAAATTTATATTTTACTTAAGTACAACATTTAATATTCTTCAATAGTTGCAGTTGACTCGCTGGTATTTAAGATATCATTATTTAATCTTACAAAATCTTATTTATCATCTTTAATTGTAACTTTGATTCAAGAAATTGCTTTAAGTTTTGAGCTCAATCAGAAGAAAAATCAACATTAAAATCTTCACTTAAAATTAATGGCAAGTTGTGGCCAAGGCAAATAATTTTCGTCCGAACTGTGTTCGTCAGAAATCGTGCGAAAAGGAGCGAATGATCCAATTTCATTGGACGAACCACTGCAATGTGCGAATACTATCCGAAACAATTGGAATTTGTTTGCAGGTTCGCAGTATTTCTGACTGAAAAGCGAATATTTTTGAAACACACCTAGCTGAAAAAGATGTTGAAAAACTAAGTATTTCTAATTCATTTTTATATCTTCAGATAAATGATGGAATTTTACAAATTCTTTTCGTTTTTTCGATTTATAAACACCTATAGCTTAGTGTAATTATGTATTAAATAAGTTAAAATTTGTTTGTAATTAAATTAACTTTTTTAAAACACCAGCGGGATAAAGCCTTAAGCTGGGCTCTACATTTTGAATTAATAATAATTTGACTCGTTATAAAGCAAGAAGTCCACTCAAAAATATTCGCTTGTGTCTAGATATAGTCAAAATTTGTATCACAAAAATTATATTATCGTTCTGAGTACTTGCGAAATCAGATACTCTAGATAATTAATTCCTTCTATAATTTGTTTCAAATTTGTTCATACTTGTTCCTGCATACCAAATGGTAGAAAAACCAAGAAGAAGTAGCAAAACCGAAAAATGTAGGACTTGGTTATTTTGTCCAAGAAAAACAGCTTCTAAATAAAGTCCCTTGTGTCGGTTCTAGGTGATTATCTATGTGTTGCTAGATCTCTTAGAGCTCAGGTCTAGGTGACCGTCTACCGTCTTATTATCGCTTTATTTGTACAACGATCTGCTATTAACTATAGTAATTCAAATAAAAGTATTCATTTTCGATCAGAATTAAACAAAACATGTTTCATACACTTTTGTGAGCACTAGTCTTTCAAATGAATTCGATGTGATATGACTTATTTAAGTATATTATGTATTTTTAGGCTAAACCTTTTTAACTGTTTTACTAACTGTCCTGATGATGGATGGTACCAGGGTTAACCGTCGTTCATTTATCAGCTGAATTTTACATGAGGCCTAGTCGATGATGTAATTTTAATAATAGATTAATTTCACACATTAATAACAGTTGATGACACCATTCTGTTGGTTCTTAGTTTTTTTCATCGAAATCAACATGCTTGACTTTATTGTTCGTAAAACGGGCCACAATCTGTATTTTGTTAAACAATTATACTATGCTCTTATTAACTAATGAATGTCGTCTAGATTACATAATTATATAGGTGTATTGTTTTAAGTATAACGATACGTACATGTTTAAGCCCATGTCTAGCATAACTGTGTGTACAAAAACTATCTGTCTTCAGTGTTATTTACTGTTAGGTGAATGCGTAAATGTTGCTACATATATTAAATGTATTTTATTGAGATTATTATTGGCTTGTTCTTTTTTCCACATTCTTCTATTTTCCTTCAGCGTAAGGCGGTCGTTATTAAAAATGATCGAGTGCTTTGAACTGCTGGAATCTCAATGATGTGGAATTTTCGGGATAGATCTTTATGACCTTTGTAAAACCGCGACTGAGTTTTGATATTTAAATAGCTACAACAGACAGATTTAATCGGAATTATATATGCAAGAGCAGCTCATGATTTACACAAAACATTTATTGTTCTATTAGCTAGAAATGACATGCTGCTGAATTGCGGAATATTGTAAAGGGTGATGAGGAAGAACGAGAAGACCTCAAAAGGTGCAAAAGAAAAAACACATTTTTAACGTTTTTGAGGAAAATCCGACAGCAAGTTTTAATGTTAGTGGGACACGATTGCAAGCTTTGGCCGTTCTTCACTTTGCGAACATGTGCACGTGTCTGATCATAGAATGAGGCTTGATCAGATATTGAAATATGTTCAAAAAGAATATTTTTGAAAATGAATTAATTTAATTTCACGAAAAGGTTTGAATATTAGTGTTTGTATGCGAGTTACTATCGACTTTTCAGATGGAAAAAATAGTACTTCAAAGCGAGAAATTGTAGTATTTGCCGTTATTATCTATCTAGCTGGCAAAGAAAATCAAGCGCCTTATTTCAACATCTCACTCATCCAATGCTTTTATATGGTCTGGCTAATGGCAACAGTCTATAAACTTTAAAAGCTTTCATTTTAGTTTAGATTGTTCAACACTAACGGTGTTTTTTCGAGAACGAGGAAAATTTATATTGTCTGCACAACGTAGACAATGTTTGTTAAAAACGGATTGTCCATCTGGATCAATTTCCGGCATAATCTTTCCCAATTATAATTAATCTTCGATTAAAGTCAACATTTTGTTGCTGATTCCATCGCAACCAGACACTTTTTACATTAAGTTCTTGTTGGTAATTTTTTAATAATGGAAGTTTAATTCAAAGCGACTAATTAAAACAGCTTTAGAAAAAATAATAATAGAACAGTAAATGAGGACAAATGTTTAGAATTGCCCAAACTCATCCAAAAATCTTGAAAATATTAAATTTGCCTTCCATCATTCTTGATACATTCGATAGAGAAACCAGCTGCTTTAAACTTCAGGCCCGTTTTGAAAAATTGTCATATTTTTTGGCTAAACTTTGTTACGGTAATTCTAAGATTTGACGGGCTTTTCCTGTATTATTAGATATTATCGTTTTAAAGTGCCTAGAAAGATAAAACATATATTAAATCAAATTTTGAGTGGAAAAACAGGTCTACCGGTAAAGCCGTTTTCTGGAAATTAGGCCTTGCAGCTGTCGAAACACTACGCTACTTACTCTTATCCAGACACCCGACGTATCTTTAGGTATTTATCTATAACTCTAATAAGCTTTATAATTTTTTTGTGAAAATTGTTAAGGACGTGATATTCATTTGAACATGTGGTTTCGTATGTAGATATTTTCATAAAAATTACTATTATGGAAAATACCAATGGTTTTAGAAAGTGTAACCGAAATAAAATATGAATTCAGCATATGTATAACCATATCCAAGTTCTATTATCTGCAAATTGGAAAATCCGTTGCTCTTATCTGGTATTAAACGATATCCATAAACCAAACATGAATACCTAATTAGAACTAACCCCAATAAACGATAATTTGCTAGAATTTCTGTACCTGGTACGAAATCTCCACAAGGATCACAGTCAACAAGCGTGTTAAAATTGTCTAAATTTTATATTAATTTTTTAATCTCATTTACATTTCAAAAACAACAATGAATATATAAACCAACTCGAGTTACTGAAGACTAGTTATTTTACATCAGCCGTAGCTACATTTGTCAGCAAGCAGTACCTCTCAGTACCAACAATTGAAATAGTCGAAAATGCTCTCTCTGGTAAGCCAGTTAATTAAATGATTTATTTGGGATAGATATATTTCAGTCACACTGTTCATAGCTTTTAGATTAATTTTGTTACGTTTTTACTTCAAATAATTGTGAATACAAATGTGAAAAAATAAATATTGATTAATTACATATAGTTGACACCATTATCTAATAAATGCTTGATTCTCTCTGGACAATTTAAGATTAAAAATTGTATTTTAACTTTAATTTAGTTTTAATCCTCCGCCGAAGATAAATTTGAAAATGTAAAGAATTTTTACGGGTAATAAACATGTAAAATGTCCGAACTGTTTTTAACCAAGAACAAGTAGGAAAAATATTTATCGAATATTTGAAAAAAAAAAAATAAATAATGGTCTATTTAAAGGGTACACACTACATATTTTGTAAAATTGGCTTTTAGTTTAAACTTTAAGTTAAAACGAAAAAAATCCCCAAAAATCAAATGTATAGTCAAATCAAAGTTGAACGAACATAGTACTACCTATAATAAATCGACTTTAGGTAAGTTTGGTCCTATCATTTGCCATACTTTGGCCGGCAGCAGTTGATGCTAGTTCAGATGGTCAGATAGCGAGAACCATCATTCATGATGCAGGTAAGCAGCAAGACAAGATCAGAAAAGACAGCAAAACTTAGTCAAAAGAATTTATTAAAAGATAAACCTAAAGTTAGATTCATCCGAATAAGACAAATCTACTCTCTCCCTACTCATGGCTTTAATTTCAAAACCATAATTTTGAACAAGTTTATAATTTCTCATACATTTTTCGTACATATTTTTTCCTACATATCTCGGCATGTAAGTTATTGGTTCAAAAAATCGAGACCAAGAATTACCACTTTGTTACCATAAACTTGTAACAGATTTAAGATAAAAAAAACTGCAATAATTCATGCATCTAAAAAAGTAATTATAAAGAATTTTACATTACATTTTACAAGCAATTACCAAATACTAATAGAAAAATCGATTTTTTTGTAATTTAATATTAGAGCTTCTAAAGAACGTTTGTAAAAGTTAAATGTGGTTATTTTGGATATTTACAGATTGGGTTTCGATAGCGACAATTTCCACACAAAAATTTATTCAGGGAAATGCATTTGTTTCATTGAAATCAATGTGTGATGGTCCAGTCTCCAACTCGACTGGTATTCCTTATTTATATTTGACCGACCGGGATGTTAGTGTAAAGGATATGGACGTACGTACTCGTAACTTATTGGAAATGAATAAAAAAGCTGCACTAAAGCCAATTAAAATAATTATAATTAAAAACGAAGAGGAAGATTAATACTGAATAAGTTTTAATATTTCTCCGAAGACGGTAGCGTAGCTATCGAAATGGGCTTCAGGTGAAAAAATCCAAAGTCGACAAAGTAGGAAAACTCGGTCATTTCATTGTATTTTGTCGAAGGTTACAAAGCAAATAAAATTTAATGGAGTGAAGTGTTAACCAAGCTTATACAGTAAAAGAGCACATAATATTGTTTCTGAACCCAAGATTGTAATTAAATACGTATTAAACTTGTTTATTATGAACGTCTTCTTCGGTGTTCTCTTAGTGTTTAAAAGTTTATTCAATTAATTCAAAGCTAAAATACAAATAATGGATTTTACCAATAAGACATTCATTGTAAATAGTAGACAAATAAAACTAAAACACTTTTATCTTCAAATCAAGTCCATGAATCATGGGATAGAAACAATTTAATAGTCAATAAGATTTCTCAAACTTGAAGACCTATTTGAAATTAAAATTCTACATGGCTGCTGAAATGAGTGAAAATGGCAAATTATTTCTTGAAATAAATTTATTTGTTTTTACATTAGGTGAACAACAACGTAACAATATTGGTTTCATGGGCTCAGACTAACAGGTGCCCAGCCAACGAAACTTTTGATCCTGAAGACCCGCGGTGCGCTAAAGTGATGTTGTCAGGCACTGTAGAAAAGGTAGAAGTAAATGAATATTGTATAAATAACTTTTCGAGATTAGATTCCCGAGGATTCCAGAAACAGTGGTTTATATATGGAAAACCAAATAATCCGCTAGTTTCCTTTAATACTAAAATCAAATGCAGAGTAGGTAGATGTTTCTCATGATAAAAATCACCGATTCTCTTCATGAATTGTTATTGTTTATACCTCAACGATCCTGAAACATCAATTTAATTACAGGTGAAAAACTCAACAGATGAACATACATTTGCACAAGGCGCACTGTTTGAACGTCATCCATCGATGAAATACTGGCCATCTAGTAAGTCACGCGACAAGCCCAAATTTTTAAATTTTGTATATATTTTTGTTATTTCCTTTTTTTCAGGTCATAATTTTTTCGTCGCTAAGATTGAACCAACTCAAGTCCTGCTCTTGAATCAGTTTGGAGGAATTCATAATGTAGACATCGAAGATTACTTGCATAGCCGCCATACCGTATAGTGTTGTAAAAATCACTATGTACTTAGTGCATAAAATGTAGCTTTTATAAATTTAAATACATGCTGATTAACTTGTACACCTCTTCATTACTTTACCTACTACGTTATACATAGTTTAAAGTTTAGTCAGCTTTAGAAGTCTTCTTTGTAGAATGAAAATGTTGAATGTGATTGATAGTTCATGAGATGAAACGTTCTTGAATGGAAGACTTCTTTTGAATCGTGAGGTAATACTTAGCTGCGCATCCACTTTCTCTGATATTCCCGAAATAATTCAGAAATGTAGATGTTGTTTTCGAGTCTAATAGCAAACAAAGCTTTCGATCCATGCCATTTTTGTGCGTTAAGTTGAACGATCAAATGTTCAGATTTAGATTCGATAGTTACTTTCAGAAACAGATTTAAGAAGCAGTAGATTAATTAATCGCTGGAGCAGAGTGTTAGTCGATGCAGCCAGTTTTACTGGAAAAAGTCAACGTACAAGAGATCAAATTTTCCCATCCAAGAGCTTATAACATATCATCAGTGCGAAATTATTCTAAAATTCATACTGTATTGTTTCATATTGGCCATACATGACACATACGATAACATGAAATAAACAAAAAAAATAGCTAAGAAGAATTTCTTAAATATTTTTTTCGAACTCCTGAGTTTGATAAAACAAAAAAGTCATGCAGTAAGTGGTTAACTAGTTAAGATTTTGCAAAAATAGACCAGGTACGTATGAATAGAAAGACTAGTTAAATAATAAAATCAGGTCGTTACAAAATATTTTCAGTTCAATACCATAAAAGTTGATTACATGCACATTTTTTCACAAATACAATTACATTCCAATGCTTACACCAAGGACGGATCCAGAGGGGGTCACGAGTCCTCCTTTGTGCTGAGTTTATGTCTACTAATGATAATTTTTCCTAATCTTATAAATAATTTAAGAAATTAAATACTTTGTATTATGGCAAATACCAACCCGAATCTCACACATATTATGAATATTATGCTGTTATTAAAATTTGCATGGCGCATCAGATCCTTCAGTATGAATAAATTAGTAACTCTCTTAATACGGGGCCGATTTGGATTATTGAAAATTGGTTCCAAAGTTAGTGATTTTGTCTAAAAATCATATTTTGCAAAGTTCAAATCAGTTGGAAAACTTATAAAGAAAATAGAGGAGGTTATAGAGAAAGGTTATAAGAGTTTGAAGGTCGAAAAGACGATTTTTCAAGACAAATGTTATCAATGTTTCCTTTGCGAATTTAAAGTCGCATTTTTTTTGAGCAAACATCTTTTCGTATGTAGAAATTTTCTGGAAATATCGGGCCGATTTGGAATTTTGTTGAAAAACGTACGATTTTTCATATAAACTGCATCTCGGAAAATTGCAATGGGTTGAAAAACTTGGAAGAGCATGATTTTAAGGTCGAAAGAACGATTTCCCGAACAAAATACTTTGAATTTCTACCTCGATTACCTCATTTTCACACCAGAACATCAGATTGTGTGCAAAGTGTATCCTCAACACTGTCTATAAGAAAACAACAATTTGCAACAGTTTGGAATGAAATGGGCTCTGAATATTGGCAAGCGTAAAACTCTCAAACTTGCACATATTTCCACTCTTTATCCTGTAACTCGGTCAGTTATCAATATTTTTTTTTGAAATTAAAAAACTCTTTAAAAGCCTATAGACTTGGGGTAGAAAGCTGCTTCAGGGCCAAAGTTCGTTTTTGTCACCGTTTCAGCGCTAGGGGAGTTTAAATTTTCAAAGATCTGAACCGTCGGTTGTTCCTGGAAACACACTTTTGCTACAAGTTTGTTCAATCTAAAAATGTATTTTTAGGAGCAACTCAATGGCTTAAAAAAAATTTGCAATTCAATTTTTTTTCAAATTTTGGAAATTTTCGAATTTTTTCAAAATAGCAAATGCGAAAATTTTTCACTTAAAAGTCGAATTTAGACCGAAATGCCAGTTTTCAATAACATCGTTTTCGTATATTGTTTCGGAGAAAATGGAATTTAGAGTTCGTTCAAAAGAAATTCCTGGGTTCCAGTCAATTTTACTGTTTATCATTTAAAATGTTACAAATACGTTACGGTGTTTTATCATCGTCATCAGTTTGTAAGTATGGCTGTTTCTACCTTCACATTTGGCAAGCCATTGTGACAATGTATACACAATTTAGAGTTAGAGAGACTTAAACTTCCATCCACATTTACAGAGAGAGACTTGAACTTCAATCCACATTTACAGAGAGACTTTAACTTCCATTCACACACTTATTTGCCCCCGTAATTCCGCAACTGTTGAAAATATTTCAGAAACAAAAAATGCTCGGGATTGCCACGGTTATTCGCTAGAGCTATCTTGGCAAAAATCGACATTGGCAACGGTTTGGGAGATAATGAACTCTGAATGTTGGAAACCGTTCGACTGCTCCATTTGTGCATACCTCCGCTCTTTTACCCGTAACTTCGTTCCGTGTTCAAATTTTGCAAATATTCTGAAACGCGTAAAAAGCCCGAAGACGAAGGTGTAAAAACTATTCTAGCCTCATATTGGATAGCGGAAACAGCAAAGGAGCAAAACGAGTTGGAACTCAATGTGCAACCTTTTGAATAAAAATGTTTGAGAAATTAATATCAGTTGAAAAAATTTACATTTATGAAGACTAATGCCGAATAGACGATTTTCCAAGCAAAATTGAAGGCCGAGTATACGAATTTTTTAAAGAATATAGTTTTTTGCCTGCGAAACTTCATTTTTTAATTGCGGTTTGGCTCTAAGTGTCTTTCTTTGTGTGTACATAATAAATAAAGTAATATTAAATTGCAGCTGAATTTCTCGACAGGTTCATCCCTAAATTCAAGGGAATATTTTGTTTGTGGGAATGGACCGTTAGCTCTAAAGTGCCTTTCTTTCACAACTAAAAAGTGTTTACATTTACAAAATGATTTGCTTGGTCTGCTGCAAGACGTACCACTGAACATTAGGCAAGATGTGTGGCTTCTACAGGATGGGGCCCTTTCTCATTTCAGAAAGAAATTATTGAAGTTATTGAACAATATGTTTCCAATTCAGTGAATTGGCCACCAAAGTCGCCGGACCTAAATATTTGCGATTTCGTCCTGTGGGGTTTTATGAAACGTTTAGTTTACGAGTACACTGAAACCAGAGATTAGTAATTTCTGCGGATACTTTTCATTCTTCGCATGCGTTCTGGTTGCAGTAACACTCAGTGAAAACCGTGCGAAAGGGGACTAATTTGAATACATTCAACGTAACTCTTATTTGTTAGGTTTCTTTTGAAAATGTTACTGGTTTCATTTATTTCTGTGTGCAGTCAAAAATGCATCAACTTAGAAATCACACTGTAGTATCGATATTATTTATCAAAAGTCTACTTATGTCTGTCGCAAAATAATTTGCTGGAACGATGTGCCAAGTGGTGCGTACAGATAATGGACAAATGAAAGCTTTATCCAACCTGAAATGTTATCTGCACAGAAACACTTATCTTCGCCTGAATTTAAAAATATTTCCAATTAGAAAGTTACTTTTAGGTAGAATGTGTATGGAATCAGGTTTTAATCTTGATTAGTCAAAACTGTCGAACTTTCGAAATAATCTATTAATTGTAACAAGTACAATATTATCTAATTTTCCAAGCTAATTTTAAATTCACTTTTAATTGAAGATCCGAATGCTACTTACAAATTTGAAATGAGCAAAAAAAGGATTTGTCTTATAGATTGAGCGACAATTGACTAGTTCTAGTTTTAGCCAACACTTTAAATCTGCAAATCTATTTTCAAACGAATCAAGTCCTTTGTTTTTTTGGATCATAAATATTATCGATATCGGCTACAGATTTTTGTTTAAACATTTTACTTGATAATATTGAATATTTTATTTATTTTTAATGAAGATTTTGTTCTGATCGGAACAATTAATACTCTATTTTATTTCATTGCTGATTTAGTAATTTATTATTGAAACAGTTTCCTTTGGAGATAATGTTGTATTTCGCAAATAAACTGTTAGAATTCTGGACATTGGAATATTAATTTAATTGACTCTCTGAGTGTTTATGAAAGAGTGACGAACAGCAACAAAAAACGAGTAGAATACATGCATCGAATGATGATATTCTGATATTTATATTTTGTTATTTATTTTGTATTAATTCCGTTTTGTTTAAAATTTCCAAAAAATTGTGCATCTAAATATAAAACTTTATGATAATCTTAGTGCGCAACTTTTATTTCCGATATTTTTACTATTTGCTTTTAGACTTTAAATTTCAAAAACTTTTAATTTGTATATTTTACCATTTTACACAATTGATGCTTAGTTTTCTTGTTCAATATAAAATCTCAAAATTTTGAAGTAAATTGGTTTTTAACTATGTATTGTTTTAATAAATTTTGGTTCTTTTAATAATAATGCTTTTAATTTGAATTGCCACGTAATGTGAGAACGACTTGAAATAAAATTATGCTAAGGGTTGCTTCCTGGTCTATGAGAACAATGTGAAAAAAAAGGAATATTTTATCTCGATAATTTTTTGGTTTGCTTTGAAGAAACAGAACGAAAAACGTAAAAAAGACTTCAAATTAGCTAATAAACTGTTATTATATTTGAGAATGTTTTTAAGCAAGTTTTATTAACAACTCATATTAGAATTGGTTTTTGGAAAGAGTGAACCACAATCACCTCTCGACCTCTGAAAAGGAAGAAAACGAAAGAGAAGAATTTTTGTTCAATGTTTTTATTCTTTTTGCGGTTTTTTATTTCTGATGGCTATTCTCGAGTTGGGAAGATTTTATACTAAGATTATTTTTGAAAAACCACTTCATTGCGAAGATAGATATAAAACATTCAGCATTAGCGGCAATTTATTGCCAAAAATTACATGTAAAGAACCTTAATTTACTAGAACTTTTTGATGCATTATACATGGCATGTGCATGAAGCAACTGCCTGGTGTTTTTTAAAGAATTCGGCCAATAATGAGAAGATTTTATTATTACATCTAATCAATTCTGAAAGTGCCTACTAACTTTGAAATTTTTGTTTAAATTAAGAATCCTTTAATATTGGTACACTGTTCCTAATGTAATAAAATAAAAAAAATTCATAGAACAGTCCATCCACAGTAGGTATATATTTTTGCTTGCCGCATTCCCTAACAAATACCTTAAAGAACCATCATAAAACAGTAAACTACAGTCAAAAAAAGAGTCCGACCCTGGTAATTAAAATGAAAATTTGCGAATGTTTACTCCACCCCACGGATATAGATATTTATTTGAACTTACTTTTCATGCGTACGGTATTGAGTTGCCGTAAAAATTGCTGGCTGCAAATAAGTGTTTCACTTATCTCTAATCGTGCTTATGTTGTGATACAAGATAGAGAAGCCCCCATATATAAATGTGTATTGTTAGATGAGTATTCAGTAGTAGTTCATAATAATCATTCGGCAAGGCGTTTACAACAATCGAAGATGAAAAGCGCTTTTGTTTTGGTGAGTAGCTTCTAATCATCATTAACTTTTATTAACTATTCATCATTAAAACCGACTTGTCCTACAGTTTCGCCTTGTTTCTATTCAATCTGTGTATGGGTAGGTACATATATGGACAGTAGGTTTACCTCGAAATCTTTTATAAAAATGTGAAGATTTAAAATAAGTATGCACAAGCATAAAGCTAGCTTAAACTTAAAGCGTTATGTTCACAATCAAATAATAACTTTTTTCAACGCTTTTGAAATCAAAATACGGCTGTGAAAAAAACTACGCGCATCCTTTGTTCGTAATTATAAATGATGTGATAAACTTGTAAGATCAACGTTTTTATCAAGTTCCTTCCTATTTATAGAAGACCCAATTTAAGCGAATTTCCTGAAGATAATAATAATTTAGCTAGTCAAATGTGTAGGTAAAATATTGAATTAATTAAATTGGGAACATTGGTTTCATTCTGGAAAAATGACGCGCACTTTTCATTTGAAAACAAAGGGATATACACACAATGTAACGTTGCCTGCCAAAACCTGCAAAATGGATTCAAAGTTCAGGAATTAAAGTAATTTATTGGCAAGGCATTTAAATATATGCACGTATACAGTAGCGTATTCAGCATAAGATCAACTTGGCACAAGACAAAGGTTTTTGTTTTTGTACCAAAATTCTCAAGAGCCCAAATTCCTGTACACTCCAACGAAGGATCAATATCTGCATGAGTAGATAGTTGAAATTATCAATTAATTTAAATAACTTTTGCATATTCTCAAATATTCTACTAATTTCCTTTTAGGTGGCTTTAGCCATCTATTGGCAGAAAGCTATCAGCATTGAAGC